CTGTAGGGGTCTAGGGCAGAGAATGACAAAGGCATCCGAATATGTTCATAAAAGCATTGTTCACAGCATTTGTAAAATCGGCCTTAAGTGAATATCGAAATCTGGGTTATCGCTTATACTGATTATTACACTGGTTTGTCAAGTATCAAGAGTCAATGCGAAGTGCAGCCACAAGGGGCTTATATTATGCCGTCCGTATTAATCGCAAGTTAGCTTCTTAGTAGCCTTTTCTCGGCTGGTAGTGTTGAAGTAACATGTGGTTAATTCCTTGCTCAATGGAATTCACGGTAAAGACAGTTGTTGTGAGGTTGTTCCATAAGCAGATTTGAGTGACGCACTTTCGAAGTTCAAAGCGGATCTCTTAGTCACTTTGGCAAGATGCCCCAATGTGGCAGATTAAGTCTATTTTGTCTTGCTTTTTCAGAAGCTTCCAAGGATAGCAGGTAAAACGATGAATTTAATATTTCTGGTGGTGGTGGTGTGTGATTTGTTTAATATTGTTGAAATTTTTAAGATTCATTCAACTCGTGCCCATGGTGGAAAACAGTTTTTAAGATTATTAATTAGTAATGTTTTAGAATCTTCTAAAGAACCTGTTCAAAGGTGGCTCAGAAGTGTTCATCTGTTTGAAACTGTTCGGGATGACGGTTGTTTCAGAGTTCCATCCAGAGCAGATTAACAGAGATGGCGGTTGTGCGTCGAGACGTTTTTTGAAATTCGCTGTAAGATCGGCAACTTTGAACCGTCAAATGACGAACGCAGACTTGAAACATAGTCAACACTTTCATACGAAGTTCCTTAGGTTCACATCGTTCGAATTCAATAACATACCGATCTATCGTCTGCCGTATATTGAAGACCCGAAAGTGGCTGTACTGTATTTTCTAAGGGAAAGCACTAATTTGATGTTTACGGACTTTTTCGATTCAAGGTCTATGTTGATGCCCGTCATAATGTCCTTGCAGTGTTTCGATGTGCAGCATCAGGCGTTGCGTGCCGCCACATTCACTAACCAGTTTTTGAACCATGAGACCTATTGTGAAAGTGTAGCAGTTGAAGAAGCGGAGGCATATCTTCGTCAAATAGAATATCGGAAAGCCAGATATGAACACCAAGAGAAATTACAAGTTGAGGACGCGGAAGAACCACAAAAGAAGAGATGTTCGTTGGATGATATAGTAGCCCATCAGACAACGAACATCTACTGTACAGGAGACTCTCGAGAAGAAAGCGAGGAGGACGAACTCTTTTTGCTGGAACCAAAGATCAGAGCTGTCTGGATTATGATCGAAAAAAGCATCTTGTACGGTGTAGCCAATAGACAAATCTATGAATTGCTTTCGAAGCTGGAGCAAACGACTGATCACTTGGAAGCACTGCGATGGCTTAAGTACGTGGTACAGTTTCTGAACTGGCAATCGTTCGACCTTGCGCGGTACTTCTGCATGGTTTGCGGCTTGCTGATCCGTCTTTGTCTGAAACCCCGATGTTCTGTCGATCAAGCCATTGTTGAAGATCATAAGCTGGTCTGTAGGCTTCTGCATATATCTGATAATGTTTGTGCTCCGCCATTTACCGTAACGGCAGTTAAAAAGGTGCAGAGTTTTTACAAGAAGTGTTCGCCACCGATCTGCACGGCGATCGTGTGCTCAGTCAGACTGGTTGAGGCGATGAATGGTGCTGAGACAACCTTAGACAAAACAGTGTGCGGTCATCGCGATTACGGCATTCTGAGAGACACTTCGTTTTCGGGCATGCTGGTGATTCGTC